ATATTATTTTCATTAACAAACCAGCCCATGACAATGGATCATGTATAGAAGAATGTTAAGAAAGGAAATATAGTGCGAATTTTTTACAGTACGGTTTTACCTTAATAATTAATGGCAGGAATTGAGAAACCCCAGTGTGTTATTTGTTGTGAAGTCCTAACAGCCAAATCTATGAAGCCAAGCAAAGTAAAACGCCATTTTGATAGCAAGCATCCAAGCTTTGCCAGCAAGGATACCAACTTTTTTTTTTTAAATCATTTTATTGGGGGCTTGTACAATTCTTATCACAATCCATACACACATCCATGTGTCAAGAAGCACATTTGTACATGCCCTCATCATTCTCAAAACATTTGCTTTCTACTTGAGCCCTTAATATCAGCTCCTCATTTGTCCCTCTCCCTCTTCACTGCCCCCTCCCTCATGAACCCTTCATAATTCATAAGTTATTATTTTGTCATATCTTACACTGTCCGACATCTCCCTTCACCCACTTTTCTGTTGTCCATCCCCCATGGAGGAGGTTATATGTAATTCTTTGTAATCGGTTCCCCCTTTCTCCCCCACCCTCCCTCCACCCTCCCAGTATTGCCACTCTCACCACTGGTCCTGAGGGGTCATCTGACCTGGACTCCCTGTGTTTCCAGTTCCTATCTGTACCAGTGTACATCCTCTGGTCTAGCCGGATTTGTAAGGTAAAATTGGGATCATGATAGTGGGGGGAGGAATCATTTAAGAACTAGAGGAAAGTTGTATGTTTGGATACCAACTATTTTAGAATCAAAGTTGATGGACTCAAGAAAACCAGAGTTGACACTTGTGGCCAGTACCACAAACAAAAAGAAGTAGCCATTGAAGCTTCCTATTTGGTGGCACTCAGAATTGCCAGAGCTGTGAAACCTCATACCATTGCTGAGGATTTATTGCCGCCAGCTACCAAAGACATTGTTCGAGTTCTGATCAGAGACAAATTTGTTATGAAATTGAGTGCAATTTCCTTATCTAACGACACTGCAGAAGAATAGATGACATGTCTGCTGATATTCTTGATCAGGTAATCCAGGAAATTAAATCTGCTCCGCTTCCAATATTTAGCATTCAGCTTAATGAATCTACAGACGTTGCAAATTGTTCAGTTACTGGTTTATGTGAGTTGTATTAATGATGGTGACTTTGAAGATGAGTTTCTTTTTTGCAAACCTTGAAATCACAACTACTGTATGTGATATATTTGACACAGTTGGTTCATTTCTGGAAGAGCATAAAATCTCTTGGGAAAAGGCTTGTGGTGTTTGCACAGATGGTGCTCCAGCTATGCTAGGATGTCGATATGGATTTCAACGTTTGGTACTGAATGAATCACCAAAAGTCATCGAAACTCACTGATTCATCCGTAAATATTAACAATGAAGATGCTGCCACAAGAGTTACAAGAAGTAATGAAAAGCATCTTAAGTTCTGTCAATTTTGTAAAGGCAAGCACTTTAAACAGTTGACTGTTTTCACAACTGCAATGAATTGAATGCGCCGGATAATGCTCTGCTATTTCACACTGAAGTGAGATGGTTGTCAAGAGAAAGTTTTAAAACGTCCTTTTGAGCTTCATGGTGAACTTTAAACGTATTTTAATCAGAAAGCAAGACTGTAGTTCAAGGCACGTTTTAGCAATGAAAGTGAACTGCAGAAAATTACTTGGTTGCCATCTTGAATGAGTTAAATTGATCACTGCAAGGACCAAATGCAGCATGCCTCAATTTGTGTGAAAAAATCCGATTATTCCAAGTGAAAGTTCTGCTTTGGCAAAAAAAAAAAATTGGATGAAAATAAAATTTACATGTTGCCTACCTTATCTGCTTTCTTTGAGGAACATGACATTGAACCAGACAAAAGGATTACGATGATAATTTCTATGAAAGGACACTTGCACATGTTTGCAGACAAAATTTCATTGTACTTTCCAAATCTACCTGACACCCCATTCGCAATTACCAGAAGCCCATTCACAGTCAAAGTTGGAAGATGTTCCTGAGACAGCACAAGAGGAGTTCGTTGAACTTGTTAACAGCAATGCAGTGAGAACTGATTTCTATACAATGCCAGTTACAAAGTTCTGGACCAAGTGTTTTTAGTCATAGCCTGTTCTGCCTGAGACTGTGTTGCACCTTCTTCCATTTCCAACAACTTTGCGAAACAGGGTTTTCCAACTTGTTGGTTATCAAGCCTAAATACAGTAGGAGACTTCTTTTTTTTTTTTTTTTAAACATTT